CACCGGCGCCTCCACTCCAGGTACCAAACCAGCCCGGGGAGCCGCACCCGATTCCGTGCGGCGGCCCCTCTCCGCGCCCAGGCACGCGCCCGCATCCGGGGTCTCCTCCTTGGCTCTGCCGCATCCCTAGCCTTCTGGCGACCCGCAGCCGGCGCCCAGAGAAAAACCCCTAACTCTGGGGCCAAACTTTACGCTTGCAACAGGCGTGGGGTGGGGAAAATGGGGGAAGGGGTAAGAGTCGCACCCCCCCTTGTGCAGGCATTTTCGGTGGCTGCTCGTCCCAGCAGCACCCCCTTGTCTCCAAGCCACCAGCTTCCTGGCCCCCCCACCAGCACACCAGAGCACTCTCTTCTGTCACGCGCGTGTCGTCGGTGGGGCTCTCAGGCGCAGCCAGAGCCCGGGACGCCGCCTCGCCTTCCCTTCCCCCTGCAGCACAGAACGCGCAACGGCCGCGCGCCGCAGGGGGACCCAGATGCCCCTAGACAGTCCTCTAGTCCCCATCCTGCCGTGCTTTCCCTCTGGGGGCTCCGCTGAGTAGCGAAACCAGGAAGACGCTATCCCCGCCCGCTTGTCCACGTGCCCCACAGACCCCCCATGCCTTTAGCTGGCAACTGGCAGGAAACTCCGCGCTGCGGGCGCCGCTGGGGAGTCGCGAGGGGCCAGCAGCAGCACTCGGGGGACCGGAGGCTAGAGGAAGAGGGGGCTCTGGAGATTGGAAGAGGCACCCGTGCCGGGGCCACAAGTCCACGTGAAACTACGGTAGCAAGTGCCGGGCGCTGAGGACGCGCCTCTAGTGCCTAGCACCAGCCCAAGGGTCCCCCACATCTTGGCGCGGCTCCACTCCTCCAAGGAAGCGCGGTACCCTCAGTTAGCCCGCGGTGGGGGAAGGACTTCAAGCGGCCAAAGCTAGACCCTGCCCCAATGACTATAGCGCCCCCAGCGCTTCGGCAAGCACAGGGGGACGCTCAGGTCCCTGCCCCCGTAACGGAGCGCATCGCAGGGCTCCTGGAAAGGGGGCTCTGCAGCCTGGAACCCCCGATCCCCTAGTGCGCTCACCTCTGCATCCCCGCCTCCGCGGTTACAGAGGCAGCCCAAACAGCTCAGCACCCCCTTCCCGGACCTCGGCCAGCCGTACCTGTGTGTCGGCGAGATAGTTGAGGAAGAAGGAGGAGAGCTCTTCGTCCAGCAGCGCGCCGCAGTCGTTCCCCGCCATCTTCCAGCCGCGGCTGCAGCGTGCGGCGGAGTCAGCGCCGAGCCGGCCCGGGGGGAGGGAGCGAGCGAGCCAGCGAGCAAGAGAGGAGGGAGGAGAGACAGAGGCTGGCGGGAGGCGGAGGGCGGAGCTCCAGCCCCCGGCTGCCGCAGGGCCGCTGGCTGCGGGGGCGGGGCCGCGTGGCGCCTGCCAGAGCAGGGGGTCGCGCCCCTAGTCTCCTGCGCAGCGTGGAGCGCCGCGACCCGCGTCTGCACCACCCGGTCCTAAGGAAAGTGCCCACAGCCTGGTAGCGATGCCCCAGCCAGCAGTCGGATTCATGCGCAGCAATGCGGGCAGCCCCCCGCTCCTGCCAGAGCGAATCACATTGCGTTAGCGCTGGGCGGGCCCTTTGAGGCAACCTGCTTCTGTACAGCTGGAGAAACTGAGGCCCAGGGAGGCGGAGGTCCTCGTTTGAAGCTCCAGTGAACTTCAATAGCAAGAAGAAAAATCCAGGGCAGACTGCCTGGGCAGCTTTAGTTTCTCTACTCAGGCTGCAAGGCCAGAGAAGGGAGCAACATCATAGGCCAAACGTGGGAGAAATCGGGGAAGGCTTAGAGAAGGAGGTGTCATTTTTACCTGTGCCTTGAAGGATGCCTTCACCCATATTCTGTTAAACCTGATCATTTTTTCTCAATAATCACTTCTTCAGGACAGCCACCCTCCCACCACCACCCCCCCCCAAACCGCCAAATAAAATGTCAATGTCTTCTTACCTTGGCTCGCAGTGCCTGGAAATGGCCCAACCCTACAGGTCTCCCTAGGGCCGCTGGTCTTCTCTCAGTTCTTCAGATGAACCCTCTCACAACCAGCCCTCTGCACATGGAGTGTTCTCCCACACCCCACACCCTAACACCGTTCACCCAGTGACCCCATCCTCAAGCATCCTTCCCCACCCACCACTGACTGTCAACCCTCCCCACCTCTACCATGGGCTCCCTTAGGTGTTGGGGCCATTCCTTTAAAACTCTGTTAAAAACAAAAACAAACAACTCACTGCCATCCAGTCGATTCCAATTCATAGCGACCCCCATTGGTTTTCCCAGTCAGTGAATCTTTACAGAAGTAAATTGACCTCATTGTCCTTCCGTGGAGTGGCTGGTGGGTTTCAACTGCCAACCTTCTGGTTAGCAGTCAAATGCCGTAGACACTGCACCACCAGAGCTCCTTTTAAACAAACCCAACAAAAAACACTCCGGTAGCGGTTGCAATTACTTTGTGTCAGTAATAATTTGATCTTTTTCTCCCTACTAGACTCTAAAATCCAGTGCCCTTGAGTCGGATTCGACTTATAGAGACCCTTCTTTGGGTTTTGGAGGAAGTATCACTACGGAAGTAGATTGCCCAACCTTTCTTCCAAGGAGTGCCTGGTGGATTTGAACCGCTACCCTTCTGGTTAGCAGTCAAATGCCTTAGGCACAACGCCACCAGAGGCCTCATAAAAATAGGACCTGAATCTGCTTTTGCACTCTGGTGAGGAGCACTTGGTGACATGGTGGTTCAGCAGGTAGCTGGTAACTGAAAAGTCAATAATTAGTTTGGTTTTAAACCAAACTCGTTGCCATCAAGTCTATTCTGATTCATAATGATCCTATAGGACTGAGTAGAATTGCCTATAGAGTTTTCTAGGCTGTAATCTTTAGGAATGCAGACTGCCACCTGCAGAGCAGCTAGCTGATGGGTTCAAAGAGCCAACCATCTGGTCAGCAGCCAAGCTCTCAAACCACTGTGCCACCAGGGCTCCTTCTCTGTACATGGTAGGCAATTAATAAATAATGTATTAACTGAATACCTGGAGGATTTCGATTCCTACTTCCATTACCACCACAACATACACATTGTGCAGATAGGGAAACTGGTCAGAGTCAAGGGGGCACATCAAGTGAGTGCCCGAGCCAGAACCAGATTTCAGGCCTCCTGACTGCAACCTTGAACTCTCATCATCATGACCTGCTATTTGACAGGCAGGAGATGAGGGCACCTCCTGGGTAAAGGCAGAAGGCGGGAAGGTTTTGGCCTATTTTTTTGTGCATGCTTGTCTCCTGCATTCCTCCTGCCCTCTTCCTGCCCTCCTCCTGCCATGCACTCACAGGGCTGCCCAGCCCCACCTGCCCTGCATGAATTCCCTCCTACCAGATGAGGAAATAGAAGGAGAGTCCCCAGCACACCTGCTGAGACTTGAACACCAAAGCAAGAGTTTCCTCCTCCTCCAGGCTAAGGTTCCCAGAACCACAGGGTGTGATTTCACTCTTTGGGCCTAGGCCAGTGAGCTTTTAAGGAACAATGAATTCCAGCAGAGAGCCCATGTCTAGCCTTGGAGCACTAGATTGAAAGTCCAGCCCCTTTCATATCTTGTTCTTGGCAACTTAAAATTAAGAGAATGGGCCCTGAAATCAGACTGCTTGGTTTTGAACCCCAACAAGTCATTGTCTCTGAGGCCCTGGTTTCCTCATCCACACAAATGGAGATCATAAAATTACTTACTTCACTGGGATGTTATGATGATTGAGGAGATACTATATGTAAAGTATTTGGCACAGTGCCTGACCTCATAGGAAAAAGGCTAAGCTCCTCCCCTCACTGGTCTGCTATTTCCTCATCTATTAAAATGGGGATAAAATATATACCCCTTGAAGGCACTGGCCAACGTTACTTTCATTCCTTCCAGTACTTTGAAGCCTGGTGCTAATCAGCTGTGTGCCCTTGGTCATTTACTTAACCACTCTGATGTCAGTTTCCTCATCTGTAAAATGGAGAAAAGAGTGGTGCTACTCCACATAGGGATCTTGTGAGGATTAAATGAAACAGTGCATGTAAAGTAAATTGTTTGACCTTATGTTTGGCAGATAGGAAATGCTCAATAAAGATTATCCATTATCACTATCATCATTACCAACATCATCTCACTTAAAGACTTAAGATCTCCTAAGGTTGGGTAGTGATACTGCCTCGGAAACCCAAGGAGGAGTTGCTATGAGTCGGGTCCGACTCCACGGCACATAACAACAACAAGCTTTTCTGCTACTGCCCTGGAACACCCTGGGTGGGACAGTTTTCAGAGGTCTTTCTTATAGCCAGAGGTGTCCCTGTCAGATCCAGACTGACGCTTCACTGACTGTTACACCACTTACAGTCCAAAGTTTGAATTTGGAAGGTCTCTGGGGCTGACATCTCTAGTCCTGGCCTTGCAGGGCTGTAGGACCAGACAAAGCCTCACCAGGAAAGGCTCAATAGCTCTTATTCCAGCTTCCTTCCTCCCTTCAGAGAGAGAACCCTGACCTTGGCCCTAAAGCCTTTTGTCTCCAAAACCCCAGTGTTGTTGGAAAAGTCTATCCAGACTTAGAGATTCTCACATTTAATGTTCTCAGAACTGGCTTTTGGCTTGCTAGAAACCCTCAAGAAGATGTCTTATCTGAGATAGCTAGCTTCCTTTTCAAACGCATCTTGTCCCTAGAATTCCTTCATCATGGGCCAACCACAGTCTCAGCCTTAGAAGCAAAAATGTTCTTTGGAGGACTAAGGTGCAGCTGACCCAAGCTATTTTCAATTGCCTCACATGCATGCAAAAGCTGGACAGTGAATAAGGAAAACTGAAGAAGAATTGATGCCTTTGAATTATAGTATTGGTGAAGAATATTGAATATACCATGGGCTGCCAGAAGAACGAACAAATCTGCCTTGAAAGAAATACAGCCAGAATGTTCCTTACAAGTGAGGGTGGCAAGACTTTCACTTCAAGTATTTGGTCATGTTTTCAGGAGGGTAAAGTCCTTGGTAGCATAGTGGCTAAGACACTTGCCTGCTAACCAGACAAATGGCGGTTCAAACCCACCAGCCACTCCTTGAAAGGAATGTTGGGCAATCCTACTTCCGTAGTGATACTGCCTCAGAAACCCAAGGAGGGGTGGCTATGAGTCGGGTTTGACTCGATGGCACATAACAATAACAAAGTCCTTGGAGAAGTATATCATTCTTGGCAATGTTCATCAATGAGATGAACTAACACAGCAGTGGCTGCAACAATGGTCTCAAATATAGCAACAGTGGTGGAGGGCCATGCTGTGTTATGTCACTATGAGTCTGAACCAACTTTTTTTCTACCCCCTGCTCTTTTCTTACCAGTATGTACCAGTTGCCATCAAATAAACCCTAGCTCATGGCAAACCCTAATGTATGGCAACTCCATGTGTGTCAGAGTAGAACTGTGCTCTGTAGAGGTTTGTTTTTTTGTTTTTTTTTATTTTTATTGTGATTTGGGTGACAGTTTACAGAGCAAATTCATTTTCCATACAGCGGCAATGTCGTGTTTCATGACATTGACTACAATTCTGCACTATGTAACAGCTCTCTTCCTACTTCCTTCCTGTAGTTACCTCTGCCCTGTGTCCTTCCCTCCCATGTACTCCTGCCCATCCCACCCCTAGCTATCTCCCTGTGCAAACACTGCCCTTCTGTTCTCCCATGATTCATCACTCCAAGGAATGGCTCTACCTGGTGTAAATGTTCACCCAATATGTCTGTCTTCTCTTTGGCTGGAAGCCGCAGGAGTGAGTACATTTCCAGACCTGAAGGGTAACTAGGCCATAGTCTGACAGGTCTTACAGACTCTATCAGTCCAGCTGATATGTAAGGTTGAGACTGTGGTTGGCCCATGATGAAGGAATTCTAGGGACAAGATGCGTTTGAAAAGGAAGCTAGCTATCTAAGGTAAGATAAATCAGGTAAGATTTTTTATTCCCCATCATTTTGAGTTTTGTTCCACATTGTTCTCCCACTCCATCCAGGATCTCCTGCACCAATCCTCCTCCAAGTGGTTGACAGTGGTAGCCGGGCACCATCTAGTTCTTTTGGTCTCACAGTCATATAGGCTGAAGATCACATGGTCTACTAGTCCCTTGGACTAATTGTTTCCATGCATCTTTGGTTTTCTTCATTCTTCTTTGCTCTGAATAAGAAGAGAAACATCA